ATATGCATAAATAAATAAAACAGGTAATTTCTCAAAAAATTAAATTTCATTTAGCATTTCAATTTATATTGTTAAAACATCAGTAAATTATTAAATGTTAAAGCTGAATGAATTTATTTGATTAGACATGGTTTCTGATTTATTTAAACCATTAAAATGGAGTCCAGAAAAAAAAATTAACGGAGGACAAAATAAAACCGATTTCATGAAGCCCTAAAATCTGGTGAATAAAGTGTGTTGCTGCTGAAGGGCAGAAGGGGGCCAGTATACCTGAGCTAATGGAGCTGGACAGCCCTCTGCCGCGGCCCCGGCGCTCTCCCGCTCTCCTCCTGCTGTCCCTCTGCTGTCTGGGGCTGTGCTCGGGCTCCTCTCCTGCCATGGACCAGTCACTCAGCTCCTCCTTGTGCTCAGAGTCGGTCTCCGAGGCGTACGAGTGCTCGGAGTTAGTGCCTGCAAAATAAGTTTCATTTAATTCATGCAAAATACAATTTCCTCCAAATATGTGACCCTGGACCACAAAACCATTCATAAGGGTCAATTTTGTGAAACTGAGATTTATACATCATCTGAAAGCTGAATAAATAAGCTTGCCATTGATGTATGGTTTGTTAGGATCGGACAATATTTGGCCGAGATACAACTATTTGAAAATCTGGAATCTGAGGGTGTAAAAAAATCTAAATATTGAGAAAATCATCTTTAAAGTTGTTCAAATGAAGTTCTTAGCAATGCATATTACTAATCAAAAATTACGTTTTGATATATTTACGGTAGGACATTTACAAAATATCTTCATGGAACATGATCTTTACTTAATATCCTAATGATTTTTGGCATAAAAGAAAAATCTATAATTTTGACCCATACAATGTATTGTTGGCTATTGCTACAAATATACCCCAGCGACTTAACACTGTTTTTGTGCTCCAGGGTCACATATGTGGTGAAGTATGACCTGGACGTGTTTTCGAGTGATTTAGAGAGGTTCACCCGGAAACGGAAGCCCTACCGTAGCCAGACGTGTATGCGGGCCCCCGGCGGCCGCGGCCCCTGCCGGAGTAGGAGCGGTTGATATGGGTGCTGCTCTCTTCAGTGGCGGACCTCTTGTCCTTATCGGCGGGTCGGTTTGGGACGGGCCTGTAGCCCATCCCGATCTGCCGCAGCTGCTCATCAATCTGCAGCCGCTCCAGTCGCAGCTGTTCCACCTCCTGCGCAACACAAACAAGCGCTCTAGTTTCTCCAACACATCGGCGGCCCTTCATCGCTGCGGCTGTACTGTAAATACTCACGTTTAGATAAGCAATATGGTACTCCAGTAGGACCTGTACATTGCTGATACTCTCCTTCGTACCAACAAACGTAAATGGCACCATTCCCTAAGAATAAAAATGCATTATTGTATGTGTTTATATTGATCTGGCTTCTCCTCTGTGCTACTCTCAGGTGTCTTACTTCCTGTCGCGGGAGTTTGTTGTCGTTGTCGCCTTCGATGCGCACTCTCACTACACCAGATTTATCCACAATCTCCTGGATAACCTTGCCATTTTTTCCAATAACCTTCCCTACAAAGAGAAATGATTTGTTAACATAATTTTGCCAGTTAAAGTCAACATATTTAAACGGACCCTATTTCAATGCTTTTGTGTTCTCTCACAAAACTATTCGGTGTACCTTGAGAAACTTCCCTCACAAATCATTTACACTCTCTTGCAAAATGATCGCATTCCCACCTCATATTATAAAATGTTACGTTTTGCGAGTGAACTCCTGTTTAGAAATTAAACTAAACTTATTTTAGAAATGTAAACTTTAAATTAAACTTAAATGAGAAAACGTAAACCAAAATAAGTTTGTTGAATTACTAATTACTAAAATTACCCCCCTCCCAAAAAATAAAAAATAAATAAAATAAAATACAAAATCACATAAATAGTTCTCTTGTTGCGAACAATTTCATGTTGCACTAAAATGTTGTGACTCTTAAATGAAACAAAAACAAAAACAAAAAAAATCTGTCATAGAAATAAAGTATAATAAAATAAAATATAAATATCATATTAAAAACTTTAAAAAATATATTAGAAATTTTGCATTGGCAACTACCTGAAAAAGTTTGTTGAAATATTAAAATGACTAAACCTGAAAAATAAAAATAAATTAATGCCAAAAAAAAAGCATACATAAAATTGGTCAAACTTAAACTAGAATTAAAGCAAAAAGTGAAAATATGAAAATGAAACTAATTAAAAGCATTAATAAATACTACATAGTATATAAATAATTCTAAAATAAGACTTGTGCACTCTAAATTATTTTACATTAACTTCAAGCTTTATACAATTTGTTTCAAAACAAAAACTAAAATAAGATAAAATAAAAAGAATGCATACCAACAAGATTGCGAGGAATCTGCACTGAATCTTCCAGAAACTCGAGATAAATCCTTGCTTTCTGTACCGCCTCAGCAGTCTGTAATGTAAGGTTTAAGAACACATCGTATCCATTACAAAGCACCTGTATAATGTAATGACGGTGTGCACAGAAAGCTGACGCACCTCTCCGTAAACCCTGAAGGTTCGCGTCTCCTCGTCCAGCTCGATGGCGGTCACTCCCGGCAGCTTTCTGGCTTGCTGAATGTTACTGCCGTGGCTCCCGATGGCGAGACCCATGAGGTCCTCTCTCACAGTGAACTCCTCTTGAAACGCCGAGGCCAACTGCTTCGTACTCTACATGCACACCAAGATTTGCACGCTTGAAATTGTAAGTCAGAGTTCATTTTCAACCCTGGTTTAATACTTTGAGTTGCACACTGCATGGTTATTATTATTGTGGCAGTTGCCATTTACCTCGAGATGTTTGGTGGCCTCCTCGTTCCGGGACATGAGCAGGAGTTTGGTGCGGATGCTGCGTAAATGCATGTCACTCAGCAGTGAGACGCGCTTGCCGGTGGCTTCGCTCATGGACTAGTGGTGTTTGGGGAACATAATGTTGGTTAAGCTTTTGTCCTGTTTAAACCTCCTTTCAGAAGTGCCGAGGTTAACTGGGACTCACCAACACAACCAGTTCACTTTGCTCTGGGCTGTAAACAATCCGAATGGCTCCGACCGCCTTTTTGAAGTCCTTGTGGGCTTGTTCATTCTCACATCTAACACGAGCGAAGAAGAAACCAGTTCATGGTTTTAATCAACACTCTTGCAATTATACATATGTTACGATTTGCACCAAAATTTAATGGGGAAAAAAGTTTTCACAAAAAGAAATAGTATATTTTTACAAAAGATAATTAAGCACATTTCACACCCAAATTGTCATTAATATACGGTGGTGATCCTCATTACTGCAATACAGTCTTTTTTGTGATTTTAAGTTCTATTTTTAGCCTTTCTGCCATTATTACACAGTATGGGAGGCGCCAGGAAACAATGGGAGAGGATCAGGAAAGGATGGCTCTGACAGCTATTTTTACATGGACGCAAGTAGGAAATCTTACAAAAATGTCACAAAATATTATAAGAAATATTATATTTTTAAAATATTTTATTAACTTTCTTTTTAGGAAAACTTGAAAATAACTGGAAACAAATAAAACCTTAAACTCCACTACAAATAAATTAAACCTAAACAGAAACTGGAAATATAAAAATAAAAATAAAAGCTAATTCAAACATTTACAAATTTATTTACAAATTCAAAGAATTTGTTTTTTAAATATTTATATTATTTAATATTTTCGATTATTTTTATATTTTTAAAACTAGAAAACTGGAAAATAACCAATTCAAGACTTTAATAAAAATAATAACATTTGAATAATAATAAAAAATATATAATCCAAAAAGGTATGAGATAAAAAGACGCAAAAAAACAAAAAACACCAAATACAAATTTGGTGCTTCTATTTTGTTTAGATATTAATAGTAGTATTAGTAGTTGTTTATTATTTATTTTTAATGCCATGTCAGCATCTAAGGCTATCTTCATGGCAAAAACTGAGTTGGGATAATACAAGACTTTTTGTTTAGATATTATATAAAATACCATATATGACCCTGGACCACAAAACCAGTCATAAGGGTCAATTTTGTGATATTGAGATGTATACATCATGAATAAATACGCTTTCCATTGATGTATGGTTTGTTAGGATCGGACAATATTTGGCCGAGATACAACTATTTGAAAATCTGGAATCTGAGGGTGCAAAAAAAATCTAAATATTGAGAAAATCGTCTTTAAAGTTGTCCAAATGAAGTTCTTGGCAATGCATATTACTAATCAAACATTAAGTTTTGATATATTTACGGTAGGAAATGTACAAATGTTGCTCGGCAACCACTTTGTTGCAACCACAACTGTTTCTGAGGAACTACATTGTTTGGCGGAAGAATACTGTTTTTATTAATATCATTACACTTTATTTGCTCTGTTTTATTCTGTGAAACCGTACTACGTATATGGAATAACCGTTTTATAAAAGCAATAAGCCCTGTGAAGCCGTGGTTTACAGTGAATTTATAACAGCTAAGGGGCGTTGTTACGACGTAAAGCGGAGTGCCTAAATCCCCCTTAGCTGTTATAAATTCACTGTAAACCACGGCTTCACGGGGCTTATTACTTTATTCTTTCACAAAAATAAAAAAATAAATGTTGCCTTGGCAGCTAACAGAATTTAAGTTGAATTAAAAATTAAGTGAAATTAATTCATTTATATAGAAAACTTATATATAAATGTATAATATAAAAATGAAAGCACTGCCTCTCAATGGCAACTGACTCCAAAATGTAAGTTGGTATCTCTAAAACCTCATCTCAAAATAGACCGGTGTTAAAATATCTGCTGCGCTGAATGACAGCTGCAGATGGAAAGTGAACAGCTGACATGCATTGAGATAAGCCTGAGCAAAATGACCAGCGCTGAATAACTGAAGGATGAGATGGAGACGGAATAATAACTTCAATTATACTCTCCAACTGGCACTTGTGTTTATTAATATATACTCTAGGTAGAAAGCTATAGACTCGTGTATGGTGTATACAGCAATTACTACACAAAACCAAACTACAGACGCATTGCTTGGAAGTTTCTTTAGAGAATCAAAATCTGGACTGAGCTGCATATGATCTGATCATTTCTGACCACACCTTAAATTATGAATATGGGCTTCCTGGAGTCTTCTTAGCTGAAATGAACCCACATATCAATCTCACTTCAACTAAACAGCTTATTTTCATTATAAATGGTTCTGAATGGTTAATAGGCTATTATGTGCTTCACTATATAATGATAGTAAAACCAACGAATATGACCGAGAGCATGTTTGAGATTAAGAACAAAGTCAAATTACTGATTTTATATTAGTGTTTACGTAGTGTTATCTTTTATCTAAGCATTCATTGTGATTCTGTTCATATAAATCGTTGAAAGACGACATAACCGAGCGCCTGACTGAATAATACTCAATAACACTTAGCAGATAAACAAACTGAAACCAAAAGTCAGTTATTCTAACCTTGAAACTCAGTTTCTCCTAATGCAAAACACTTTTGTATTTGAAGTCGAGGTTAAATAAACGTTAGCATTATTCTGAAGTAATGTTTTTCTTATTTAAATATTATCCTCGCACAGCTGCTAACCGGCTAACGGCTAACAGCCACTGAGTCGAGTACTATTTATATGCGTCGAAAGTACACGATGTAGCTCGATTTCCAATATTTTCTTCAAAGTTTTATCATCCTCGCTGTCTTAAGATACGAATGCGTGTGTACAGTAAAAGAGAATGGAGTAAAATAAAGTATTTACCTTATAATAAGCTCCATTGGAGCCACGGACCTCCACCGTCAGTTCCTCCATGTTGAGCGCGAAGAGGATGCTGGGTAAAGTTCTAGAACTCTACAGGGCTCAGCAGTGAACCCTGAGGAACGAACCCACATATCTCACTTCAACTAAACAGCTTATTTTCATTATAAATGGTTCTGAATGGTTAATAGGCTATTATGTGCTTCACTATAATGATAGTAAAACCAACGAATATGACCGAGAGCATGTTTGAGATTAAGAACAAAGTCAAATTACTGATTTTATATGAGTGTTTACGTAGTGTTATCTTTTATCTAAGCATTCATTGTGATTCTGTTCATATAAATCGTTGAAAGACGACATAACCGAGCGCCTGACTGAATAATACTCAATAACACTTAGCAGATAAACAAACTGAAACCAAAAGTCAGTTATTCTAACCTTGAAACTCAGTTTCTCCTAATGCAAAACACTTTTGTATTTGAAGTCGAGGTTAAATAAACGTTAGCATTATTCTGAAGTAATGTTTTTCTTATTTAAATATTATCCTCGCACAGCTGCTAACCGGCTAACGGCTAACAGCCACTGAGTCGAGTACTATTTATATGCGTCGAAAGTACACGATGTAGCTCGATTTCCAATATTTTCTTCAAAGTTTTATCATCCTCGCTGTCTTAAGATACGAATGCGTGTGTACAGTAAAAGAGAATGGAGTAAAATAAAGTATTTACCTTATAATAAGCTCCATTGGAGCCACGGACCTCCACCGTCAGTTCCTCCATGTTGAGCGCGAAGAGGATGCTGGGTAAAGTTCTAGAACTCTACAGGGCTCAGCAGTGAACCCTGAGGAACTCCTTCATACTACATACAGTACTTTAGCCTGAGATGCTGTATAGTAAAGTAAACAAATGTATACTTGAACAGTTTTTTATATATATATATATATAAATGGTTCTGTTGACTTTTACTTTTACTTTCACTACATTTTGAAATTGGTTCAAACAGCTTCATTTGATTTGTTTTGTGAATCGCAAATCTGAATCAAAGACAACAGAGTTATGGGGAATCCGGAAAAAAAATACACTTAAACTTTAACCTGTGTTTTGGATATAATTATTTTTTTAACAGCTTAAACATTATACATTATGAAAAAGTTAGTAATTTCCATTGAACCTAAGAAACTGTTCATATTTGTAATATTTAGCAGATAGCGTGTCACCTACAGAATATAATCTACAGTTTTAAGACATGTATGTTAATCAGTGACTAGAAAATATCTGATAACACTTGAAAAATAATTTAACCTGAAACGGCTAAATTAACACTCACTTTTCTTCAAACATATTGCACTTATAAACAAAGTTTATATGTGGCGCATGCATAAAAAGACAAATTACTGACAGTATAACAATGAAACAATTGCAAAGAAGTTGCCAAGGTGTTCTCGTGTTTTAGTGCATTGTTTAGTGTTTCCAGTGGTGTTCTGGGTGGTTGCCATGGCATTGCTAAACAGTTGTTAAGGTGTTCTCAGTGTTTTTAGTTCATTGTTATGTGGTTGCATTCATGTGACATATTGGAGTTTAACACTTATGGTCAGGCATTTGTTCAGATCACTAACCTCAGCTATCTGCAGTAGTAATAGTGTTGCTTTCCTTATCAAGCACCCATAATAATAAATCCAGCAGCTGCAATGCACACTGGGAAAACATGCGTCGCTCTGGACTTTACATATAAAATGAGGCAGAGGCATGCTACCATATTTTATTCGCTTACTGAATCAGTTGGAGAGATATTCTGGATATCCTAACATAGACTCCAGCATCCGTCAATCATCCATGTTGCCATGGCTACTGTATAATCAGCTGCGCCGTTATTGATGTCATTCACTTGTACCTTTGATACTTGGTACATTTAATATCATTTATTACTTTTAGCCAATTATTTTTCTCATGGGCTACTTTAAATATATTCCCATAACTGTATCATTACTTTTACTATCATGCATGTGAATTTTACTAATTACTAATTAATCCTCTATTATACACACCTTTTCACACATTGACGTCATACATTACATATTTACATAACCGCTTAAAATGTTCTTAATATTGACATTTTAATGATCAAATTATATAATAAAGAGAATTCTTCAACCAAATATTCAGTTTTCTGAATATGACACATTTAAAGTTATTAAATATAACTTTGAATGGCACTTTATTACATCAAAATTATAAACACTATCCCTTCTTTCTACTTTTTACTTTGCTTTATTATTTCTTTAATTGATGTATTTTAAATTGTGGCTGGAACAAAACCATGCTATGACAAATTCACCATAAAAAGCAATGAAAATTGCAAACAGTGTATTCAAAATTTCAGAAATTCATGTTGACTTGTTTGTTTAAACAAAAAAATAAATAAATAAATAAAATAACTGTCTTTCACTAACAGAATGAGATCACAAATGAAGTGCCAGAAGTTGGAAAAATGGGGCAAATCTGATACTGACATCTAGTGGTGAAATATCAATAATTTTATTTAGATATTCTCATACACTGATTTCAGCCATTAATATTTGATAAAAAGAATCCAACATTTTCAAGCAAAACAATGGCCTCTTAATATAATACTACATTAGTTGTTTAATAATATGTAGTCTACCTACATTTATATTAATGTTTGTTTTATATACTATATATTTATTAGAAATTCTATTTAAATATGTATTATATATATAAAAAATATATATAAATCATAGTTATTACACACACACATACAATATATTATTGATAAATATTACTAAAATGTAGTCTGTTCAAACACTTGAATAGGCAAATTCACATTAAACTACAGTTAGCCACATATTTTATTTACACAACACTCATTCATCCACTATAGATTTATATTCATATTTGATATGCATTAAGCATTTACATGCATTAACATGTTTGGGTGCCCAAAGCTCAGGCACATTTCTTCAGCAAATGTTATTCATCATGAGCGCCTCATGTTTTTCTGGGAATAAATATTTGGGGCAGGGGTTCCCGCAATCACTCTCACCCCACATGTGTCAAATCTGCAGGCAAAATAACCTACAGTGTGTGCCGCTGTAAATGTCTGCCATATAAGCGTTTATATGGTCTGACTGATAGTATAGCCCGTGTTCAGACTTAAACCAGTTTACGAATTCCATTATGCTAAGCCCGAGCACTCTCACCGCTGATGAATGATTATAAAAATACATAATCTCCAGAGGTACCATCATTGCACTACGACAGGGAAATTTCATTCATTCTATCCAATTTTTCCCTTATTTAAAAAAGAAATTACTGGCCCCCAGTAATCAGATATACAGGCGGGCTGTTTCTGGAGTTAAGCCCAACTTCTATTAGAATTTCGTCTTCTCTCATTTTTAGGAAACACGCGTACACACCGAGATACTCGAGGGCTCATTTGGACAAGCCCCTTCCTTAGTTTCAATGTTTTTAATGCGTTTATATGATGAAATCCATCTTTAATATTTGAGCCAGAATGCTTACTGTCTCGGATGCTAACAAAAGTCATACATTTGCTACATATTACTTTATCTAATAGTCTTTCCATGTGAAAAAGAAGTACACTTGACAGAAATGATAACACTTTACCAGCAGGTTTGATTTATTAACATTCGTTAACTACATCATGAACTAAGAATGAATACGCATTCATAAATCTTAGATCATGTTAATTTCAACATTTACTACATTTTTTAAGATCAAACGTTGTATCTGTTAATATTAATAATAGTAATGCACAGTGAACATGAACATTTTTGCTAACTAACATCAACGAAAATTAGTAAATGTTGTAAAAAGATATTTCTTACTGTTAATGTTAATACATTAACAAATGAGGCCTTAAAGTAATACTATTCTTACTATATATGATTATTGCAATTAAATAAAATGTAATATAGTTTCAATTTATATTAAATGCAACTTTAGAGTTCTTTTTTTTTGCTCACTTAAGTAGGAAATGAGTATATCTTTGTATATAATTATTTATAATTATTTCTATAGTCTCGGTCATATTGGTTATATTGTCTTGGAAATATGGATAAAAAAGTGTACTGCTGAATGTACTGACAGGCATTTATGGTAAAAATATTTTTTTATATACTGTATGTAATTTTTTATATACTGCAATGTAATTTCTATCAAAGTTGTACATCATGCATTTAAATATATTTGTAATTACACACTGTAATGATGAAGTTGCAATTTAGTACATTTAAAATATATTAACTTTAAATGTAATATCAAATAACACTAGATTTAAAATTATAATCAAGTACTTCACGTGTGTTAGTTAGCACATCAAAATAAGTAGCACCACAAAATGTAATTAAAACAATGATTTAAAGTGTACTTTAAAGTAACACGTTTCATTTGAGTGCACTTAATGTACTTAAGTGTGCTAAAAAAACACTAACCCCCAGTTTCACAGACAAGGCTTAAGCCTAGTCCCAGACTAAAATGTAAATCTGAGCTGTTTCAACTATTTCTGTCAGAAAGTTGCAGACTGTTTAATACAAATAAAAAAATGTCTTATTATTAAATAAACTCAATTGATATTTTCTCAGATTTCCATTCTGTAACACTCTGGTACGGTGCCACGCAGTTTGTAAACATCAGTGTTTTGAGCTAGACCCATGTAGTGCACGTAGCTTCCTGAATGAAAAATTATAATTATTTTCTCATAATCAGACAAAACTGAAGAGGCTGACACAGGAGCGAGCGTATCTATTAGTTCGCGCCCCGCGCATGTCCAATTTCTCTTCAATCTGTGATGCTTTTTTAGCTATAATTGAAAATTAGCCGTACATCTTTTTTTTGGAGAAGGGTAATTTATCACGGCCCTTTGTTCCTCCGTGACACTTTAGCCCTGCCGCTAACAAGGCTTCGAGAGCCGAGGGGTTGAGCCGCGGCGAGCGATTCTGCCGTACGGATGCATTTTCGCTGCTTTGTTGCTAATTGTGGCCTCCTTTCTATTGAATGGTGAGTCGAGTAAAAGAGCTTGTTGGCTCGATGCAGTGGAGCTCTCCGGCCCTCTCTGGCTATTATCAAAGATACTCTTGATCTTTTCAAAAGCAGGAAATAGATTTTTTCCCTCCTGTATAGGAAAAAAAGTAATTTGCAATGCATCCATTAGTTCTTCATTAAAGCAAGATTAAATTGCACTGCAAATCACATCTGCCTTTGGATGATTAAAGGGTGGCATTTTATAGGCCAAAACTAATTACTAGTCCAAATGAACGAGAGTAAAAAAAAACAGGCATGTTTTTACATTAGATAGTGTGGCTTGTAATTAGATTGAAGCTAATTCCACTATTTCATCTCTTTTAATGAGATGAGACTGTCCTCATCTTTCCCCTCATTTTTGTCAACCCCGCACTATAACGGCTCCAAATGTATAATTTCGATAATACAGAGAGTTTTTAATAATGAAATTTCCAAGTAACCTGCTACAAGTGACTGTTTCGTCCCGTATTGAATTATTACACACGGAAAATGAGGAGGGAAGATTTAGAGGTTGTGAATTGATGTTTCCAGCCAGACTGCGTGACCTGATGCTGCCGCATGTTTAAAAAGAACGATTTCTGAGTGCCATTTTTATGGGGAGTCTTCATCAGTCTGCAAGTTTCTATTTAGTTATGATACGTGCTTGTTATGATGCACTTGGTGGTTGCTAGGGCACTGATATTAGTTGATAAGGTGTTGTGGGTGGTTGCTAGGGCATT